ATGAATTGAGAAAGGAAGGAGACTTGAAATGTGCAATTCATCTCGATGAGATAACCACGATGACTGTTTAGGATTGCATCAATTTTTGTCATATCTTTTTATAAATCATGCGCTACCTTTTCTTCACTTTCGATATGCTTGACATTAATAAAGTTTGTTGTTTTAGTTCGAGAATTTGTTTCATCCCATTCTTAAAAATCTATGTAACATATATATTTTTAGATTTCCATACATTGATAGATCACGAAATACCGAGCAGTTTTTTTAAATATGTGGACAAAGCTACCATTTCGCTGTTGCTATAAAACAATTTTTCTTTTTTGTTGTGCAAAAAATCTTGCGTTGATGTGACTTATTTTTGATCTACATATTATTCACTACATAATATTGCGCAATATTACGCACAATATTACTCATTACGAAAATGAAATTCTACTACATGCATTACTAAGCAAACATACGTGTGCTATCTTTTCGATTAAGAATGTACATCACGTTTGTATAATATATAAAATAATTATTTTAAATATATATTTTAAATATATATATATATAATTATTATATATTTTAATATATAAATTTAATATATAAATTTAATAATATATTAAATATATATTTTAAATATATAAATATATATATATTATATAAAATTATTATATATTATTATATATTAATATTTTAAATATATAAATATATATATATTATATAAAATTATTATATATTATTATATATTTTAAATATATATAAAATAATTGTTTTTTATATATATATATATATCACTTACATTTACATTGAGACGTCATGATTGCTAAAATGTGATTTCTTTTAAAAATAAAATTTATCACCGGGAGCCGTATTGAATAATAATATATGCACTGTAATCACAAATAGGTTACTGTTATTTTCTGTGCAAAATTTTGCAAAATATTTCCATCATATTAATAGTATGACTTAGCATTTAAACTGATAAACTGCAACGAGTCATTATTGATAACATTATCCTTGAAATTTTGATATTTGCACGTGAGTATTAATTGCCGTTGACACTTTCAAGTAGAATGACATATATCTGCATTATTTAACGTTCTCACTGGTAATATATTAATTGAAATTGGCAATGGTAACATTTTAAAAAAAAACTATCGAACAAGATCGTATGTTTTTTTCTATATATTCTTGATCATTTTTAATAATTTTAGATGCAATGAAAATCAATATCCATTAACATTAACGTCCTAGCGAATCATTCAAAATGTATTAGATTTGTTCTGATCTAACTCATCAGCGGAGGATAATATAAAACATATCGAACTGTTTGAAATCTGGAGCAAACCGAAGTGGATAGTAATGTTGCCTCTCGACTTGGCCAAGAGTTAGTAATACTGGACTATGGTTAATTTGATAATTAACTTGCAAATTGATCTTCATTTAACAGAAGAACGGAAGACCTGACTAGCCGTGACACTGACGACGATAAATATTCTTTGTTAACCGGAACCAGTACATCTCTTCAGGATAGCACCGGAAGTACGGTCACAGGCTCTATTAGTGCCAACTACGAACGTAATTTCGAAGATCGTATCTTGCATGGGCAGAGCGGTGGTCGCAGATTTAGTTACAAAAAAAGAAAGACTTGCAGCGGAAATGGAATATTTAGTGCTCCTCCCGGTGTCAGTCCCCATCACGTTAAATCATCAATTATCCGTCGCAACACAAGTAGCGCTTCTGAACTCGACGCATGTTCTACCATACGTATCTATTAGTTGTTTATATAAAATTATATAAAAGTAAGGTTCTTCCTTCTTTTTATAATAGATGGATCTCGATTAATTTTCGTATGGCCACAGAAACCGCCAAGAAGTAAATTATTAAGAATCTTAGCTCCTCTCATGCATGGCATCCTCGTTGGATTTTTATTCATGGACGCTGTTCATCTTTGGCCAGGAGAATTTTTACCTACGTCATTGCCTTCCATAATACCTATTCCTTTGCCACCCGTGAAATGCAACGTAATTGAACCACGATGGTTCGATAACAGTTAAACATTATGATCTTTGTACTTTTGGCTGAAACATTTAAAAGATGAGAAACAAAATTATAAAAAAGTTTGTGAAAAATTGAAACGAATGTAGAAGAACATATTGAAACAAAAAATGAAATAAAGAATTATTTTAATATATATATATATATATATAAAACGTTAGAAATTCTTGAACTTTTTTCCAAGAAATTTACAAAGATGAACCCGTAGGAACATGTTTGTGAAGACACGATACTATTTGTGAAAACGGTAAACGTGAAAAGTATTTTCATCTGCAAGTATGTCAAATAAACATTTATTTCAAAAATTTGGATTCTTACGTGCACCGTTTGGCATTGGTGTTGGCCGTTATGTGTGTCAGTTACAGAGAATAACTATAAAATTTTGTAAAAGTCACGGCGATAGTTTTGGAATTAGGTAGGTAAACATTTTCATTTCTAACCTCTTCTCTGCGACTAAATTTTTATATTGCACGTATATCGATGCAATGACAAGTCGAGCAATAAACATTAAATTTTTCGAAAATTATAATTATTGGATTAATATACATGATTTCCTTTCTTCTCTTTTATTTTCGGTGCATACTATCTTTTTCATAAAATATAACCTACAATATTCCATGTCGGTCGTGTATATATGTTTATCATATTTTTACTATATACAGGAGTTTCTTAGAACATGATTTAATTGATTATGCAAAACAAAATCCTGGAGTTGTAGTGTATGTTAAACCAAGAAGGCACAGAAGTCCAGTTTTAAAAGCTGAATATTGTAAGTTTATTACTATTTTAATAATTATTTATTATTATATATTATTATTTAAATTATTTTAAGAAAAATTTTAAATATTAAAAAATATTGATTGAAATATTTATATACATTATAGTGAATGGAGAAACAAGTTGGATATGTATTGCCAATTTTAATAGGAAAGATATTATACAATGGATGGAATTATTGAAGACTCAATATCATGATGGTCCAGCTCTTAGATTACTTAAATTATGGCATACAGACTTTCCATCCATTCAAGGACCTTGGACACCATTTACTTTTAAAAATCCATCTTTGAATCAAATCAAATTCCCAGATGTAAATATAAAATTTTTTTCTATTTATATTTTGCTTTTCCTATTTAATCTTTCGTCATTATACATTTTATTTATTTTTAGAAAAAGATTGGTGAAGCTCTTAAATTCAAACCAACAGCAACAGAAGAATTAATTAGATTGTTTGAAGAACAGCAAGAAGCTGAGAAGTTCGATCAAGAAATTCCAGTTCAAAAAGGTTGTTAGTTAAATGATAGTTTCAACCATTTTTAGTCATCAAAAATGTAGGACGTTAAATCATCGTTGCCATATCTTTTCAAAATAACATTTAAGTTGTTTATTTTTCTGCGATATTACAAAAAAAATCTATGAAATAATCATATAAATCATTTGATTATAATAAAATTGTGACTATTATAAAATAAATATATATAGCTTACAAATTCACTTGTGTTATTTATTGATATATGTAAATTTTTTGCATGCATATGGTATTTTATCTCGCACGAAATTAATTTACTTATTTAAATTGTCAAATATACATGGTATCCAGATAGCATAATTACATTACAATTAAATATAAGTATTCATTTGTGCTTTATATTGTTTGATGGAAGTATATTAGTGACTAGCATATTATATGTATATACAACATTTGATATGTGATAGGAAAGTTACAATGAAGTATTAATGCATATTGTTGGCCATATTTATGTTACTGTCAAAATTACAGTGACAGGTACATACTCTTTTTTATATTTATGTTTATGTATATTTTTCTATATTTTTAATTGCTACACAAAAATATATTTTAACATTTTTTTGTATAAAAAATTGAATAGCGATATCGCACATAGCACCATAACTTGTGGATAAACGATTCTCTAAACTCATATTCAATTTAAGTGATTTCTCTACTTTGACTAATTTTACATTTTGAGTAAGTTATATTGTTATTATTACAATATTTAATCTCCATAATAACCTATAAATATAATTCGTTTTTTAATATAATTGATTACATTTTTATTAATGCATGCAAGATTTTTATATGAAACATATATAGTACATTCTACGAAGTATACAATTATCAATTACTTTAATTAATCTTTACTATTTGAATTAAAAAAATATTAATACAAGATATTAAAATGATTAAAATATTAACTTTAATTAAAATCCAAACATCAACTAGAACGCGAATAAAATTTTCTCAATATTTTATCAACAATAAATAAAGATTAGAACTTTTCTTTGTAAATATACAATAAGCATGAATTTTTTTCTAATCGTATAATAATTTATGTAGATTTTTAAAAATTTTAATGACATTAATTACAAAAATATAAAATATTTCAATTACATTTTTCAGTTGTAATGAGTGGCATTTTAAATCATTTTCAGGGAATGGGTATAGTAGCACAACCCTGATATATGCTAATTTTTTTCTTTGAGAAGTATGAATAAATAATTTATTTTTTACTCTACAATAAAGACAGTAGTTTTTCTTATTATTTTTATAAAAAGGAAAAAAAAAGAGTGTAACTTTCTTTATAGAATATCAGATGGGCTTAAATATCTATAATTATGTATCAAAGTAATGAGATAATGAGATGATTCTAAAAATGTAACAATATAAATAGGATGAATTTGATGCTACAATCATACGCACAAAAAACCACACATCATTGACGTACCATTCCATATTAAACACTTCATTATATATAAATAATAGATTTGTAATGCCTCATTATAGTATATTGGTATTAAAAATTGACAAATGTGATACTTGCGATATTTCAGTTATCGATATTTTATTTAAATTTAATCATAATATTAAAATAAATTATTTGTACTATAACAATCTTCTTGTAATAAATGTTACTATAGAAATTTATTTTTTTGTCGTATAAAAAATAATCTAATATAACGCAATATATCACATTTGTAAAATTAAACAAATTAAATCATGCATACGAGCTATCCTCTTTTCGCATAGATAAATGTCCATAAAGAAGATAAAACAGCACATCAGGTAAAATATTCTCGTTTAAGCAAAATATCACACGTTATATCGATCATGAAAGTGCGACTAGAATTCAGTTTATTCGACTTTAAGTCGTTTACTTAATTCTTCTTGTTGCTTTTCTCGCCATTCCTTTTTTGGTTTTATTCGTTTAAGTTGACCATCCCTAAAAATTTAATTATATATTTATCTCTCTATAAATAACAACAACAACAACATGCGAATTTTTTTTTTATTTAAAAAATTTTACCATTGTAAATCGACTAATCCACCTTGTCTTGCTATCACAGATTTTACTCTATTCGCAAAATCGATAGCACTCTCTCCCTCGTTTCTATACATTGGAGGAAGATACCAAACATCACACACTATTGCCCAACTTGACATAGTCATATATAAATATTGTATCATGGAATATCGACTACTATTCCAAAATGCATCTCCAAATCTTGGATCATACTATAAAGAAAACAACAAAATTGGTTATCTAAAGCATTGGTTAGCTAACCAATTGTTTTATATAAATACATATGCAATTACTTTTATTGCAACAGGATAAATTACACCACCAACTTCAAAACTTCCTTTCTTAAATTGCATAACTGATGTATTATTTATACAAGTGCCTTCAGGAAAAATAAGTATAGGTGGATTCGTGGGATCAGAAATATGTTTTTTTAATCTATAAAATATAGCAGAAAAATTTAAATATGATAAATAAACTGCATATGCTAAAAACATATACAAAATGACTAATATTTACCGTCTTGTAACTGCTTCTCTATCTTTAACTTCACATCGTTCAAACCAAATGTGTGGTGAAGCACGTGCTAAAGCTCTTTGTAGAATACCTAAAAATCCACCATGCCTCTGACCTATCTAAAATAATATTCCTTATTGAAAGTTTATAAGCTGCTTTCTGCATAATATTAGAAGTAACATCTTTTTATGTACAAGCACAAAATTACAATCACAACATCACAATAGCAAAACAAAACCAATATAAAGCAAATTTCAGGCAAATTTAAAAAATTTGGTAAATGATGAATTATCATACTGACAAATAAATAATGTTGGAATTATTAAATATTAGGGGTGAAGAATGACGTACCAAAGAATAACAATTATCGCACATGAGTACCAAAACATCTATAGGAGAAGTATGATTCGCCACACAAATACCCCTAACAGGACGATTCTCCGGATTATGATACGTAATTACTGACGATAGTGCACTTGACAATACACCGAAGCACATTATGGAGACTTTGTAATTCAGCCATCGTTTGAAACTACCCTCTGGAACGTAGCCGACTACTGCTGTACATGCTGTCAGCCACATCACCTGTAAATCATAAGCTTTGCATCTAAGAAAGGATAATTCTCTCAGTATCGATGCTGATTAGGTTTACCTGCAAAGCAAAATTACAGGATACCGTTTTACCTGTAACATTTACTAATGAATTTCAATTTTGCCAGTAAGCAGTTATAAATTATATTGCTTTGGGGGATTAATATAGCAAGATTCCCGAAATCATTTCAAAGATATCATATTATTATGTGGAAATTAGGTTAGTAACAAACAACAAGACATCAAATTCCCAAGTTCCCAAAAACAAATTTTGAAAACAATGCTATATTACCAAGGAGAATGTTATCTGTGTGGATAAGATGGACACGTCGATTGTGGAAGTATGATTTGCTACACACAGTCCTCCTGGTTTTGGTTTGTACTCTGGATTATGAATTGTAATTGCCGCTGATAAAGATTGTGACATTATCCTGAATGCTATGAGACTAGCCTTGTTGTATGTCCATTTCTTAATAAAACCATTTGGTAGGAAGCCAATAAGAAATGTTGCAATTACAATATACAGTACCTAGGAATCTTTGACGTTAGTTGAATTTCAAATACTAAATTTGGTATTGAAATAGATAATTTCAAAACAGATTCTTAAGGTACAAGATCTTAAAGTACAGTAAATGAATTTAGAAATCAAAAATTAATCAAGTTTATACAGATCCTACCAAGTTGTTTTAATTTTTCTAGATATTATTAACTAAAGAAGAGTCAATGAACATACCCCAATAAAACAAATGAATATCCTCAAAGGAAGAAGAAAGCAATATCGCATAACAAATCCACACATCCATATTACTGTCAGCTTCCAGGAGATAAACTCATAATGTCTATTTGTTCTAGTCAATAAATTCCAATTCTACAAAAAAGATGTCGTCCTATCATATAGTGATCGATATTTATTAAAATTCGAGAAAATAAAAACACAAATTACCTTCAATTCTTCTGCTTCGAAACGAGACGTTACCTCATCTTCTATAATAGCTTCTACACCAGCTTTAATGTAGTCCAAACAGATTGCAGGTTTGAACTCCCTTTTCAGTGTTTCAAACGAATCTCTACGCATGAGGGTCTGTAAAAATAATATATTCTCAATTTTTTGTACAAAGATTTACGTCGTAAATAGATACACTTATTACAATTTTACAAACGAAGATTACCTCATTTTTGTTCACGCCTGCTGTAGGTGTCTGAGAACTTTCTGTCTTCGTTTCCTCCAAATGATTCTTATGATTCTGCATTTCTGGCTCGGGTACCAAGATCAAATCCGTTGATCTGGCTATAACGTTGCTGCTCACTCCATTCTGCATGTTCTCCGTTTTCCAATTTTGCACATTCTGCTTCTCGACGTGCCGTGACTCGTATTCCTCATCTGCGTCTTCGTCATTTTGCTTCCAAGTACCGTTCTTCTTCTTCACATTCTCTATATTTTGTCTGCCATACTGAAACAAATGTTCAATACATACGATATAATTATTCAAATTAGAACGATTCTAAAGAATTCATATTATATGTATACTGTAATAAAAGTTTTTATAAACAAGCATAACAAAAACAATTAGTTCAGCCAAATTAATTACAACTTGGAAACGAATAAATACTTAAAATTACTATAGACCAAAGTATGAATATTTTTAATAAAAAGATATCGACTAAAAATAAAGATAAATAATGCTTTTTCACAACTAAATTTATGAAATTTATGTAAAATTTAACATTTCTTTATATCTATTTCTTCTTTAAACTATTAATAAAAGCTGTAAAAGAATAAGAAAATGTCCATATTTCGAAATTAAATATACAAATGAATCATTTTCATAAAAATTCATCTTACAACATGAAAACGCAATTAGGGTGTTGAACGTCATATTGAACAAGTTCTGTAAATATTTAAAAAGCAATTATTCGATTTGCTATTTTTAGTGCCCAATCTAGGCGTTTGAAGATCGAACGATCAGTCGATGTTCTTCCGGTTGATAATAAATTTTTTTAAAAGATTAAACTTAATAACATTCAGTATCAGTATCAGAGTCATTGTAAATTAATAATATGTAAATAAGAGTTGTCAAACGAATAAAAAAATATGAAGAAATTTACAGGGGTTACTGAATTATTAAACTCAATATGAATAATATAACAATAATGATTTTAATTAAAAATGATTAAGTAAGTTCTATTATAAGTCATTGTACTCTTTATTATGTACATATCATTAAAAAACAATGCAAATGTATGCATATTATATATCACACTATCAAAAAAGCAGTTTATATGAAAGGAACTTGAGATGTAGTGTGTTTCTCAAAGCTTATTCAAATCATTTTTTTAGACAATATCAGTAGTTATTTCTAAACGAGTAATAATTCTCTCTCTCTCTCTCTCTCTCTCTCTCTCTTTTATCAAACAGAAGTTTTCATTAGGTGATATCTATATACTTAACACTTACTATATATACCTAACACATTCTATATTTCTTTTTTTAAGAGGAAGATAATCGTAAATGGAAAGTTCATGAAGGACGCAAGAACTTTGATAAAGGAGTCTCTACCAACCGTGATAATCGTATCTAAGAGCAAAATTTCGTGGACTTTCGAAAGAAATAAATTTGCTCTATGTAACGTCACGTGTTCCTACGAAATTTGATGAATCGCGTTAACTGAAGTAAATTTTCGATAATGTTGATGAAAGCAGAATTGATAAGGAGCACACTTCAACGAAAGGCGGCGGAGTTTCTTGGACTTTGCACTCGATGACCGCAATTTCCAGTCTGAAGAATTTGTTCATCTTTCTACAGTGATTTATGAAATCAGTGATTTTGAATACTTGCACAGAATACACTGATGTATACATGGTATATGTTATAAGAAACATTTTAAAATTTCATCAACATTGAAAATATACACAAGATACATGATATTTATTGTACATACATATTTAGTAAAAAAATTAGTATATAATATGATTATTAATATGAATTATCTTAAGCAGAAAATAAATGTTAGATCTCACTGAATATCAAGAATATTATGTTAATATAATGGACTATTGATTATTTAAATATTATATTAATTTATAATATTTATATACACATTATTGTAAACTTATAAATTTATAATATTATATTATAAATTTATAATATTTATATAAACATTATTGTACATATATCATATATTTATACAAATTTATAATATTTATATATCATAAATATTATATTTATATTAATTATTAAATATTATATTAATATAATGGACTGTTGATTATTTAAATATATTAATTTATATTATATTTATATAAATTTATAATATTTATATAAACATTATATAAACATTATTGTACATATATTATATATATATAAATTTATAATATTTATATATTATAAATATTATATTTATATTAATTATTAAATATTATATTAATATAATGGACTATTGATTATTGAAATACTTCTGTGAAATAATATCTTGTAAGTTTTTTTGTAATATATTTCCAGATTCGTTTCGACGTTTGATCAATCAAGTTTCATTATAATACTGTAATAAAATTTTAAAATGTTACTCATTGTTACTCATTGTCGATACGAATATATGTAGGTCTTTTTGATAGCATCCTCAATCTTTGTACCATGTTCAACATACAAATATACTAATATCATGAAATCGTTTGCCTTGCAATCACTTGCAATCGAAAATATGTGACGAAACGAGAAGGCAGATCAATTTGTAGCGTGTTGCCCAAGTTTTCAAATGTCAGTCTACTGCAAAACTTCATTTAAAATGCCAGTCGACTGCAATTACATAATGATTATTAATATCACAATCTATTCTGATAAATTAATTCGTAATTGTAGAAAATGATTGCGCGCAATAAGAAGTGATTTTTTTATCGAAAGAGAACTTTATACGAACGAGATATAACATTCTCATTGTTTACTCGCGCGTTTCTTCAATTTTCCAGTATAGTTACAATAAGATTATTGTAAAAGAATCCATGAGGCTGTCCTAAGAAGAGACATGTTACATAAATCGCAAGACATTATTGTACATGTATTATTTTAAATACCCAACTGCGATAATAATGGAAAGAACACATGAAAATATTCTTCTTTAGAAGAAAGAGATTAAAGATGTTTTGTCTCCTAATTATTCAAATATCTTACAAATCTTCTCTGGCGTTTGTTTCTCTTTTTTTTCTGTTTGTCAGAAATGTTACTCAATTATTTAAAAAAATCACACACGTGTGTATTTCAATATGACCAGGAACTAAAAGATTAAAAAAAAAAAAAAACATTTAAAAAATATTAAAAGAAGAATTGATACTTTGTCACGAAAATTCCCACTTTTTTACTGAATCGTTTTTTTACAAAAAAATAAACTCCTGGCCGCCAACATAATTGTAAATAGCATTTCTGTTCAGATATATCTTTGTACTGTTAGATAACTTGCATGAATATGCGTACGAAATAAGTATATATATCAGAAAATCTATGCAATCTCATTCGTCAATTGAATAGCGTTCCTTGTTGGTATCTCGCTCTGCGCAATTGCACAATCTGTAACTTGTTTTATTCAAACAGATTATTGGTAATAGATAAAATAGATAATAACAAGTAAATTGGAATTAGAACAAACAGATTACCAAAGAAAGTCACTTGTTTATGAAATAATCCAAGACCTTTGCACGACATTGTATCTCGTATCTCGTTGAAGATATTAACATTGTCTTCGATATCAATCCATAAGACAACCGTGTTAAATGAATATCTTCAGACGCGCTTCGTATTGTGTCAAATATCATCTCGAAGAAATTAGTAAGTCTTGAGGGGTCCGTTTAAAAATCATGAAAAAAAATTTTCAATGTTTTTTCACATACTGTGACAATTTATAGCATTTTCGAAAGAAAAAAAAAAAAGTGTCTTCATTTTCCCACATACTCGGGGTAAAATAAACTTTGCAACGTGGCCAAGTTTAATCGTTGCACGATTTCTTTTTGCGGCACTGTAATCAATTGAATATCGATAATTTAGATGTTCAAAACTAAGGTTCCACGAGCGACTTCGATTGTACTTTACTATCATTTTTAGTAATTGTATCGTTTTACTATATATATATATATATATAAAAGCGTGTGAATGAAATGTGTAAAAATAACTATGTAATTATGGGCGAGATGTGTAACGAAAGCCGTGTAAAACAAGTATGTATTGTGTAAAACGAGACCGCAATAGTAATTTATTGACTAGATATCCGGCAAAACATCATTCACCGTCTTGTTAACAATTAATATTCAGCAGATATTTTTCCTATCGAATACTAATCAGTCAAATTGGTATCGCAATTACTAATCAATAAATCCAAAATCAAACAGTAAATCATCGTTTATGAATCATTTTCCAATGACGTCTTTTTTCTATATATTGATAAACAAGTTTCTCAATTTCTCTAAGGGAGGGGAAAAAAAAAATACGAACATTTATTGAAATGCATTGTCTGTGCACATGTACACGATTATCGGTACAATGAAATAGCAATCAAGTACTAAACTATAATTTTTGTATTTCAATCAAATACACATTTGCAATTGAAGAATTGAAAGAATGTTTTCCTTTCTACGATTTACGAGTTTTCCACTTTTTTACTTAAAATACACATGCGCATGAATCAGGTTACATAACCTAACATGATTAATATGTATTCGATTCACATCGAAGGAAGAAAGCAAGGAGGTCGACTTCCGAACTATCAGAACAACAATCACGTATTTTGAAGTGGCGACACGAATATTTCATAGGGCATCGTGATGTTCTTTCTTCAAAAGTTTTTAATCGATAGGAATTTGTTACGTACATTTATAGCATTATAGAAGATCCGCCGATGTACGTCAATTGATCTTAATTTGCAATTTTGCAATAATTAATATGCAATTTCGCATAAAGCTGTATATACGAATGTGTATAAACAAAAGATTCTACTTGAAATGTAAATTTAAAGGTGATTAGAAAGTAAAATATTCCACAAGTTACATTGAACATCAACTGAAGAGCATGAATAGTGATTTTCATAAATTAAAACAAGTGGACATACTTATTAATGATAAAAATTAAAAACTACAATCAATTTGGAAAAATATTGCATATGTGTGTGTGCGTGTGCGTGTGCGTGTGTGTGTGTGTGTGTGGGTGTGCGCGCGCGCGCGCGCGCAATTATAATGCATAATTATATATATAATAC